ATTTCCTTCTACACCGAGATATCCTCTGAGAGGAACACCTTTGCATTTCCTCACACATGCCAGCCACACTTGCGTAGGTGGAGATATTCGGGGGAATCGCTTTTCTGGACAAAGAGGGAGAAGACGGTCGCACTTGGCTTTTCAAAGCCCCTTCCGGTACGTTTCAGAGCCCTCTGCCAAATTGCCCTCTGAGGGGGGCATCAGCCAGCACAGACCTAAAGCATAAATATGGATGCGTTGTCCTGAGCTGGGCTGGTGGCCTCGTTAATTGCCCTACGTGTGCGTGCGCAGGTACACAGATATTCAAATTCCGCTTTTTATTTTAAAGTTCCTCTAACTAATAAAAGGGCTGCATCGCCAGGGGATTTGAAGTCTTTAAAATGAGGGAAGGAGGGGAAAAAAAACTGTAAAAAGCAGCGAGCGGCAGAAAGTTATGCTGGGTTAGGGTCAGGGTTCTGCATTTAATAAACAATTACGGATTAATTATGAATGAGCGCGTCTCCAAAGAGCGGGGGCTTGGCTGGGGGAACGGGGAGGGGGGCAGGGGGGGATGAATAATGCAGGTGGCGTGCCTATCAGAGAGCTCAACCTGAAGCCTCACACACAGCCAATTATCCTGGGCCCCGTCATAATCATCCCAAAGCTGACATTTACTCAGAACCGTGGCACCGGGGGGGGGGACATAGTGAGCGGGCAGGACCCCCAGCCTACATATTAAACTCCTTATTTGCCTGCGTCCTCCCGTGTTTCGAAGGTGGGGGCACGTGCTGTTTGCGTGTGCTGGTCCCGTTGCCTCCCCCCATGTTCGGAATTGCAAATGAACCGGCAGCACTTGACGTCCCCCAGGTCACATGATACGGGGAGGGGTTAGAGGTCATGGCTGAGGTTGAGTATCGTTCCTCCAGAAACTAAATGGAGGCTGAAAAGTTGTGGGGGGGGATTTTTGTTGTTTTTTTTGCCCATTAGGAGGAGGACAGGAAGCGTAACCTGTAACCCCGTCTATTATCAGCAAAACTCTGCTGGCAGGTCCATGGGGAGGGCCGGGGGGGCCGGGGGGGCACAGGGAGGCGGGTGGGCCTATTTCCAGCAGAAGGTACAGGTGTGGGGTGGCTTATGTTGCCCTGCATAGGCAAAACACTGTAACTGCATATTTTATCAAAACGGAGTTATAACCAAAATCAGGTCTCTTTGGCTTTGCTTTATCATGTGATAAAATAGAAAACGGTATCATTTACCTAACAACAATATGCACAGGGGGACAGCCAAAAAACATACAAGCCCCTTTTCTCAGTTTCCCCGTCAGCGTAGTCACTGTCTCGCCTTCGAAGGCCAGTATGATTATCTGTCTGTCTTGCAGAGTGTATCTTTAGAATAAGGTTTACTCTCCCTCCTCTGCAAGCTCAGCATCACTGCATAGTGCAAAGGGCAGCAGTCAAACTGCACAGCTTCATGTTCCTAATAGAGCCTAGCATCTCTTCATGCCTCGAACAGGAACTCATTTCGTTTTGGCCTGCTCTGGCAAACGGGTCTCCGTGGTAACCCCTCCTGTCTCATGATCCCATCTGTTGTGCGTTTGGAAAAATGAGTAGGAGTCCATTTAATGGCAATTTGTTTGATGATTCTTTTTTTCTTTCTCCTCGTGGCGTCTGGTTTGATTCATAGACCTCCAGACATCACAGTGGTCTTTACTGGGCCCGGCACAGTGGGGTCTGTCAGATGAGTTTCTCAGAAAAAATGGGGGCAGCCAGCTGGCGGTTGGAGATCAGTACGTGAACGACGTTCAAAAATCGGACATTTGGCAGGGAAGTTTTTTAAACTCCACCCTGTAAATAATGCGACCATCTCACAGATTCCATACCCTCTCCTGTGTTCTTAATACCTCCGCTCTGATTGGCTCTAATGTGGCATAAAATGGGGCTTCGTGATTGGCTTGTTGGAATCTGTCCCTCCCACCTCCCCCAGGGACTCCAGTCCAAAGACGTCTTCAAAGGAACACATCAAGCTTACAAGTTTGGTATTACATCTGAATGGTAGGATGAAGTAATCCTGGTTCTGGAAACTTCTTCAGAGGGGTGTGTACCTCCACACAGACGCTGCCAAGCCTTGGTAACCAGCATTTCTCCTTGGGTGGCGGGGGCCGTTAACAGTGCTGGCAGAGCTGTGGCAGGGGGGTTCATGATGCGGGTGGGGGTGCGAATTGTTGAGGTGGGGGGCCTTTCTGTGGGGGCTCCCACGCACACACCAGCACCAAGCTGGGGAGTTTGTTGGTTGCCTGATGTTAAACCCCCCGCTGTCACTAGGCAGGTCTGCACCACTGATGATGCTGTACTAAAGCAAGGTTCGGGAACCATGAGGACCAGTGGGCTTCGAGTCCAATGACCCCCCCCCTCCCCCCTCCAAAGGTTACCTGCTCTGACATATTCACAGAAAGGCATGTGAGGTGCTTCCACGGAAATTTAAAAACTGCTTAGAACTGGTGTTTTGTACCTGGAAAAAAAAATGGATCTAATATATGTGTGAACAGTGCATGCATACACAGCATTAGTTAACATTAGGCAGACCAAAACACATTCAGCAAAGCAACCACCACCATTACATATAGAAAAGAATGATTCCAGGTATTACAGAAACAGAGAAAACATAATTAACCATAATTACCTTATTTATGTACTTCCTGTAAATAAGAGCTAATGGAATCCTTGGATTTTTTTAGACCCAGAGTGAATAGCAGTAATCAGACGTTTACTGACGGCAGCAGGGTAAGCTGAAAAGATGAAGCATTTAAACATATTTAACATGTTTTTATGTATCTGTTTATCAGGTTCTGGTAAGTCTCCTGTGATGTGTATCAGCTTCGTGATTTTCATTTTTCAATTAACACTGACAGTGAACAATTTAACCATCGTATGTTAATAACACCTCAACCCCTGCTTCATTTTGCGTATTTAAAAGCGTCACTGTCAGCTATTCTACTGAATCAAGAGGGGTGAAGGATCCCAGGTCCTCAGAGGTGTAACAGGCCCATCGGGGATTCTGTTTAACGGGTCGATTTCTTCAGCCATTATGCCCTCATATCGTGAATCGCACAGCAGGAGACAAGTATTGCTTTGTTTGTTCTTTAAACCTCTTTTTTTAAGGTATTGGACATGCACCTCTTTTTTCTAAGCAGGAACTGCAACATATTTCTGATTTTTTTTTTCGTAGCAGAGCAGAAGAGTGTGACTCTGTTATCCCAGTTGTGACAACTACAAGAACTGTTATTCCTGCAATCGCGACACATTTGTGCAGTAGGTCTCCCAGTTCAAGACTCGAAAGTCAGTCAAGTTTCTTTAATTAGTTGCTTGCTGCCTGTTTCTGGACGGGGGAGGGGTTAAAAGTCCATATTTACTTTGTTTAATTACGCCGCCCAGTTACCCGTGCACATCCGTTACTTTATACCTGACAGCGATTGTGTGGATTTTCGGCCGAATATTGCGGTTTAACAAGAGAAACGCGCCAGACGCAAAGAAGCTGTAATTGAGAGCGGCTCTGATTAGAATTACCGGGTATCGTCCGAGTGGCATTAACATGGTTCAGGCGGGCGCCTGTGTTGTATTATTAATACGTTATTTTTACATTTCCGCTAAAAAACTCGCGTGTCCTTATGAAGTGTTCTTGAAAGATGTGAACCCATTAAAAAAAACGCGCCGCGTCGAGTCAAACTTTTAATGGCTTCCCAAAGGAAGAGAGCGCGATTCTCAAAGCCGAAAGGTGTTTTTATATTTCTGTGATTCCACTAGGAAAAAAAAAGAAATTAATGTTAATAGTATTATTGTGAAAGATCACTAATTAGAAATTAACCAAATTATTTATCCGATGATAAATAAGGAATGCGCGCTACAAAAAATAAATAACGAACCTGAATCCATGTAGGCATTAATGATTTTAAGGATATCCACATTAGATGCTTGTTTGGCATTGGTGTGATGCCACCCTACCTTCTCTGCACATCTGTCGCCCGTATCCATGGAGATGGAGTACCCTTCCATCACCTACTGTAGTTCTTGTAGGAATGCAGAGAGAGACTCTGTTATATGCCTGTGACCATGCGCACGACCCCCCATCAGTGAGTAGGGATGTGTTACTTGCTGGACTGGTTTACAGCCTTGTGGTTTTCTGCTGACATATTTGCCATTCCGATAGAATTTGTGGTCTAAGCTGTGGTCATCACCATGCCACCATTATCATCACCATCCTTCTGACATCATCACCATACTGCTGACATCATCAGCATGCTGCTCACATCATCACCATGCTGTTTTCATCATCATGCCATACTGGCACCTTGAAGATTGTATTAGCATTCTGCGAGCTGGCATCATTTTCTTGCCATCCGCATAGTCACCATTCCACTGGCATCATCTCTGCACAGCTGCCCGTGAGGGGTGTTCTGGTGTTTGAATCTGAGACCTCACAAATTAGGAAAAAATTCAGGTACAATACAATAAAAGCCGTGGGCCTCTCTTGGCCCACGTCCTGCTCAGCGGTGCGGCTCGTAATACCGCATTCATTGGTATTCAAGCATGACATGCTGGCTAGTTCTGGGGTGTCTTTGATCACTGAGATACAAATACAAAAAAACAAAAGTGGCAAAACCATGTAATTATTTGCTGCCCTGATAAATAAATGAAAGACTTTATTAACTTCAAGCACAAGTAATAAATAATTAGTTTTTTATATATACATATAGTTAAGGTGGTACATCCTCTCAAACAGATTCTGTGTCAGATGTGTACCGCTGTGGCTGAAAAATTTATGATTCGAAGTTTTTGATGAAAAATTTCTTTAATTAAAGTTATTGTTCAGCTATATCTGTTTTTTTTTTTCTCTTATTGTTATGTTGGGTTGCTGTGCTAAATTTTACTTGTAGCTGCAGTATTTATCATCCGTCCGTACGTGTTATGGGCGACTTGAAGAGGCAGGAAGAGACTCGGGGATCTGCTGGATCACAGTGAGGCATATTTATCCAAAAAAGTTTATTTATATTTAAGTGTAAAGGCAGTGTATGTACAGGCAAGCTATCAAAAGATTTTTGGATCAGAAGGGTTAAAACGTAATAAAATATAATATAATTAAATATATAACACAAGTAAAAATGTTATAGCTATATGTATGTATATTGAAGGTTATTATTTTCATATACATTCATTCAGTGTACGATATCGAAACAGGTCGTTGGCTGGTTAATTTGGTTAAACTGGTAAATCTGGTCATTTAATCTCCCTTTTGTTCTAACATGTTAGGCACCATTGGCATTGGAGTCCAGATGACAGCAGGGGGCGCTGTCCTTTGAAGGTTCAGCACCTGAAGGCTTGGATCTTGATTGTACTGGGATCGTAGTTTGTTGAGTCTTTGGAAAAGGGAGGGTTTACTAGTTTAAATGATAACTGGATTTATCGCCTTACTTATATTAGCATTAACAGACTGGGGGGTTGTCCCAAACTCAAACAGTCCTGGGGGTGTATTCCAGAGAGCATGTCCTAGCCCGAGCATCTCTGGTAGGGTGTCTGGCCCAGGAAGAGTGAAAGTATCCCAGATACCATTCCAGGGAGTGGCCAGCACAGGTTGGAAGGGGTCTCAGGGGCGTGTCACTCGAGGGCGTGCCAGCGAGGGGCGTGGTCAGCAAGGGGCGTGGTCAGTAAGAGGGCGGGTCACTGGCCTTCACCCTCATCTGTGCTGAAGCTGCTCCGTCGACTGCTTCCCTTTGAGGCGGCCGGAGAGGTGGAGGAAAGGAGTGGGTCGGCGCCAAACGGAGACAACGGCCCGTCCATCAGGATGTGCTCTAGCCGCTGCTCCTCCTTGAGCGTGGCACCAAAGAAGTCCGTGAAATGCGTCAGCGGGTCGGAGAAGGCGGCCGCGGCCGCACTCACTGTGCTCTGTGCGTATTCCCCGCTGGAGCCCTCCTGGTGCATGGGCAGGGCCGGCTGGCTCTGGAGGGGCGAGGACAGCTCCACCTGCCCCAGGACAGGGGGCGCCATGTTGGGGAGCCCATGGGCTCGCGCCTGAATCTCAAGCTCCTGCAGGTGCATAGGGCAGCAGGTCAGCAAGGATGTAACCTTCGCATAACTGCTCCGGTCCTGTCCATTAAACCATAGAGAGAACTGAATATAGAGCTTATTCAAACTCTCAGGGCATGGCTCTGCATCACCCTCCTCATTTTGCCTATTTTTGATAATATTGTAATTATAATTACAATGGTAATTAGCAATTGTGATTGCAATTCCATATGAAATTAGCTCTGTGGAGTGACATTACTGAAATAACATTGAGTAGGTATTATAGTTTGTTTTCAAATCCAGACTTAATATTCAGTAAAAAAAAAAAAAAAAAAATGGATTCCAGCATCAGTGATGCAGGTTTTAAAGTATCCATCCAGTAATCAATAGTAGTGCAGTTTTCGAACGTGATCTGCGTGTATTTGTGCTGTGGGTGAGCGGCATGGCGGTGCAATGGGTGCGGGTGAGCCCGCGTATGAATTACAGCCCACGGTCTGATGCAGTTTTACTTGTCTCCATCGTTCTCCTGCACCCTCTCCTCCGTGAGTTTGCATTTGCATTTCGTATTTTAACACCTGGATTTTTAATCAGCAAGGAAACTCACATTATTTTAAAAACTAATATAAGCTATGAATCTGAAATACTGTGGATGAATTTGGAAATAAACTACAGCACTAATTCAACATTCCTACCGAGAAATTCAGGTAATTCAGGCACTAATCCCATTCCCCATGGCCCCTGCAGTCTCCTGATTAACTTGTGCAGATTCGGTCTCCTGGAAAGGATTACCACAGGCCACTGTCTGCCCTCATATTTCTCTCTTCCCTTCTCAGGCTGAAATCTAAATATTTTTCGCTATTTAATACAGATAATCTCAGTGTCTCTAAGTCAGTGTTCCCCATCCCGGACCCACTTCCTATTGGATGGAAGCAAAAACCCTGGACCGTCTGCAGGTCTTCGAGGACCAGATTGGGAAACACTGCTCTACGTTGTCGGGAAAGAATGACTAATGTGTGAACTCAGAACCATAGTCTAGAACCTCAAAACACAAAGAAGCATTTCTCTGGTTACCGATACACGTCTGAGCGACATTAGCGGACGAGGGTGCCGCGATTAATGGCTAAATGGGTAGCTTTTCCCAGCCATTGCTTTCCACATCAAGTTAAGGGCACTCTGGGGTAGTGAATGGGGTAATTAATCCCATGCGTAATTAGCGTGTCTCGTTAGCGTGCCACCCCCTCGGTTTGCCGTATAAGCGCATCGCTAACCACTACGGCTAATGCGTGAGTGGGGAGGTCCTAGGGCTTCATTGGGCTGCTGGGATCCAGGTCCTAGATTCTGTTCCTCTTAAGTTCACAGATGCTACTGCTACTCTGTTCAGAAGATATTCAGATATGCGTGCTGAGAGCGAGGGAGGCCATTTACAAATGTTTGTGAAGGCTTTACGGTTATCCTGAAGGCCTCTTTAAAGTTTGGCTATTCCCCCCTTTTTTCCATGGCAACGCCCTCAATAGTCCCCAACGTGTCCCCAAACACCCCCCTCCCCCAGTGCTGTGCCAACCAGGGGCAATTCTGGGATTTTGGATTTTCTTTGAATATAAGAGGCACCATAATTCATACAGAAGGTCCAACCTTATCATTAGCCAATGACATGTTTTGAGTCAGTGAGTGACAGAACTGGCGGCCAATTAGCATTCAGCTGGTGTCCCGTGGCCCCGCCCCTGCATACGCCGCTGGCACCAGCCACAGACCTGGATCCTGAGCAACAGCCTCCGGTTGGCCTGCTCCAGCCTCCGCTGCCGGCCCTCCAGCTCACGTCCGTGCTGCTGCTCCTTTTGCAGCCACTTGATGTACTCCACCGAGGCCTTAAGGATGGTGCCCTTGTTCCAACGCATGTCCCTGTGGGGAGCACAGGCAACGTGTTTCAGCCACTCGGCCCCGATAAGAAGCTCCCACTCCTGTCCCTATCCTTCATTCCCAGCCCTGGCTGCTTTTAGATGATAATTTTAATAGAATACTTAAGTACATTTTGCAGAAAGTCAATTCTGGATCCTTTGTGAGGCCACATTAATCCCACAGGGAGGCATCCGTGTCAGGGGAAGTCAGGAACAGCTTGGGATGAGCGAGGACCCCCGCAGCATTTCCAAGCCGATTGCTTTTTAAGAAGTGGGCAGCGGGAATATTTCCCCCTTTTCACGGAAGGGGGGGGGGGGGCATTTGTCTGATCGCCAGTGATAATCGTCAGCTGGATTTAGCACAGAATGGGAAGGCCCACCCTCGAACCCCAAGGACGCTGGACGGAATCACAGACGTCAGTTCAGGATCTCAGCCGATCTTTCAGCTCCTTTTGTGAACATTCACTCTAACTGTTGACCGCTTTCATTAGCCTTTTTATTAGCCTTCAGCATTTGCATAGACTTAAAAAAGGCTAAAATCCTGAGATTTGTTTGCTCTTCTTATGAACAGCAGTTAGCCTCATCCTTCACAAAGTAGCAGAAGATGAGAAGGTTCCAGTTACTTACGGGTCGTTTGACTTCGGTATTAAAGTTCCCAGCTCCTTGATTCTGTAGTTAATGTTGTACCTTCTTCTTCTTTCAACTGATGGTGACACACAGAAGGTTGCCGTTAGACATTTAACGTGTGCTGCCCTGAACACACCTTGGTCACCATTGGCTCGAGGTGCCTCAGCGTGCCCCAAACTCACACACTGCTTTGCTTTTTAAGGTACAGTATTAAGAATGACCTTCATAGTAACTGTTCAGCTAGTCTTTGTAAAATTGCACAGTATTGCAAGAAGAAAATTAAACAGCAGAGCCACGGAAACTATGAAAAACTGCAGATACATGTGGCCATGGGAATTTTTTTTCCTATAATCCTTCCCTTTCGAGGACGGCTCACTTACTTAAATTGTGGTTGTCTTTTTTCTGCCGTTCTTTGGCGAGAACTCTGGTTTCATGTTCTGCAAGACAAGAAGAGTTAGAGTGAGAGAGACGACGGGGCAGATCAGCGGATGTGGAGTCCGCACGTCTCCGGGTCAACGCGGACCATTCTCTGCATTAATCCCGAAACTGGACCCACACTGGATCTCATGCTGTGTCACACTGGATCTCATGGTGTTTCACACTGGATCTCATAGTGTTTCACACTGGATCTCATGGTGTGTCACACTGGATCTCATGGTGTGTCACACTGGATCTCATGGTGTTTCACACTGGATCTCATAGTGTTTCACACTGGATCTCATGTTGTGTTACACTGGATCTCATGTTGTGTTACACTGGATCTCATGGGGTGCCAGGAGGGCAAGACAGGGTAGCCAAAATTCTCAGACGTGTATTCTTACGAATTATAAAAGTGGAGTCCTTGACTGGATTTCCCTCTACATTTTTGCCAGTTTAATAAGGTCAATTTAGCTCTGTGGAGAAAGCTATTGTCCTCCTGCCCTCATATTTCTCTCTTCCCTTCTCAGGCTGAAGTCCAAATATTATTCACTATATAATACAGATGATCCCAATGTCTCTATGTCAGTGTTTCCCAACCTGGTCCTCGGGGCCCCACAGACGGTCCGTGTTTTTGCTCCCTCCTTCAGCACGTGTGCCGAGTAGCGTAATTTACTTATGCTCTCTGGAGTGCAAAGGTCTCAGGCCGTCCTCTATACTTCCAAAGTCAATGAAGTTTACGTGACGCGTGACATTCATAAAGGCTCACAATGTGCACCTTGTGTCTCAGCCACTGGGAGAGGTGTGGGGGCATCTGCACCCCCCCCAAACCCAAATGTAGCTGTGTGAAGGAAACCGGATTCTTTCACCACAAAAGCCCTCCATCAGGCTGCAGACAGATAAGATTGGCCCCTCTGTATGAATTATGCCCCCCCCCACCTTAAAAAATCCTAGAATCGCCCTTGCCCTTGACCCTGAGAATAGTGAACGACAGGAGAACATTCGTGTGTCATACTTCCTCATGAATCGCAAGGCAGCACGAGCACTGCTCTGAGTCTGGGGATGAACAGTGTGCTGTGACGCGTACCTGTGACCTCCCTCTTAACACTGAGCTTTGTGAGGCATAGTGCAGGTGCCAGTCCACCACTAGGGGCAGTCATACCTTGATCGCCGCCATATCCATCCAGCAAGCCACCACCGAGGGATACCTGTATGGGTGGGGGGGCAGTGTTATTAGCGGCAATGCGATACACTGGGGGCTGTTTTCTTTACTTTCCAGGTATGAAGTCCATCAGACACACAGAGGGTCTCCCCAGGTCACATGATCCAGACACACTGAGAGAGTGCACTGGAGTTACAGGGTCGCTACCCCTAGGTCAGTGTTTCTCAATCCAGTCCTCAGGGTCCCCAGCCAGTCCACATTTTTGCTCCCTCCCAGCTCCCAGCACACCTGTAACAAACAATCAAGAAGAGTGAATACCTGGTTCAGGGGTGCTGGGAGCTGGGAGGGAGCAAAAATGTGGACTGGCTGGTAGGGAGCTGGGAGGGAGCAAAAATGTGGACTGGCTGTTGACCCTGAGGACTGGATTGAGAAACACTTTTCTTAGGTGCATTACCAGCATATTTGCACTGTATTACATGTAGGATGTGAGACAGACATAAACACCAATTACAATACATACAGACCTTTACACCCTCAGATTTATGAAATCAGTTCTGATTTTATTTGATATTCATCAATTCATCCACATTGGCACATAATCCCTTAAATCTAATTCAACATTGGCTAAAAAAAAAACCCCCTTGGTATCAGCTTTCTGTAACTGCTTATTCTCTTCAGGGTTGTGGGGGGGTGATGGGGCACCAACCCTTCACAGGCACATTCACACATGGGGGGGGGACTGGATTACCCAGTGAAAACCCCATGATGACACGAGAAGAACATGTAAACTCCAGCCACATGGAGACTCGAACCCTGGACCCATGAGTGTGAGGCTAGTGCTAATGACTGCACCGTCATACCCCCCCCCCCTCCCCAATCCTCTACATTATAAAAAAAACCTTTTTTGGTTTTATTTGACTTCTATTGTCTTTTCATACTGAAAATTTTTTTTCAATGGCCTTTGAAATAAACACTCTCCATCTACTTTCTAGAAGGTCGGAGTTTCACACTCGAGCTCACAATCCGCACTGTTGTGTGGTGACATAAGCACCGTTTCTGTAAACCTGACCTATCTCTGTCTAGGCTTTCTTAGGTTTTCTCTCTCCAGTTAGAAGATGGACTCTAATTCCTTCGTGGATTTAATTTGACCTGAATTATATTTGCAAAATGGAAGCACTCTGGATTCCCATACTCACTGAGATAGAGCGTTAATCTTTCACAAGCGATTCATCAAAAGTATCTACAACTAAAGCATTTAAAAACCCCATAAAAAACCCATTTCTATCCTCAAAAAAGGTCTTCTTTTATTAATTCATATCAGTGTCCGATGTCTGCTTTTGGGACAGGCATGGAATGGGACAGTTAGAATTTATTTCAGGTAAGACTGAAATTTGAAAAAAAAAAAATAGATAAGGTCTGAATTTTCTGCTGGCAGGTCCCATTAAGTGTCTCATAAGTTATCACATTACATCCGTAACTTTGTTAACCCGTGTATCGAGAAGGCAATTCCCTGACTTAACGATATTGGATTACTAAGCAATTATTGTGTGGCGACATCTGGCACTTTCATTAAATCCACACGCACCTAATTTTGCCTTGCTGTGTCGAAGCTGCTTCCACTGGGAATATTTCATCAGATTAGATATATTTTTTCATAACATGAAAATTAAAATAAATTATGTTCATAATGTTCGCATATTTCACATTTATAGTTATTCAGGACAAATCGGAATATTGCGAAATTGAATATTCAGACGTCTTGACACCTAGTCCCACAGGTGGGTAAGAATAGCAGTTAGGGAATTAGACCGCTGACGAGAAGATTGCAGGTTTGCATACCGGGAGCGAGACCCATACTGCTAATACAGTGACGAACACCGGAATCTGAAAATAGTCTCTTATCTGATGCATAATGTTGGAACTGTCATGTCTGCATACTAGGTTCGCAGGGACGGAGATATCGTTGTTCTGTGGTGATGCATTGAGTTACTATTGTTATGTGGTGATGCAGTGAGGTAGCGTTGTTCTGTGGTGATGCAGTGAGGTAGCGTTATTCTGTGGTGATGCAGTGAGGTAGCGTTGTTCTGTGGTGATGCAGTGAGGTAGTGAATGTGCTGCAATCATTATGTTATGCTGTAGTGAGGGGTATTGGATTGATTGTGTCTGTGGAGTGGGAGAGCGTGAAAAAAGAAAGGCGATATTATGTGATGACAGCGGTATTCCTGAATGATCCTTTCAAATATAACAGGAACAACTTTAACCCAGGGCTTAGAATTTACAGTTGTAAATAATATAAATATAAGGTTTTATTTTGATGTGTCTTTGCATAGTATTTGTACTTTGCTTATGGTAATCGGTTATATCACAGGCATGACTGTCAGCTTTGACCTACATCACTAGACAGCTCTTGTAAGAGCTACTGCACAGCCCAATCTAACAGTATTTATGTCTAGTGTTTGTTTACTGAGGTGGCATAATTTAGATAAAAAGGGTAAAAAAGCTTAACATGATATTTCAAGGCAAAAGTATGACTGTCATTGCTGGCATTTGATCACTGCGGTGAGACGGTGCTCCTGCAGCTTCTGTGAGCCTGAGGCTTCATACTCACGTTGCTCTGCATCATCATGTTGGACTCCACACATCCCAGACTCTCGTCAGCGAAACCGGACTCAAGGCTGATCAGATCATCGATGACTCCATCCATGGGGAACTTGGGGAGAAACCGGCAGTTAAGAAGGATCTCTGCATCGCCACCTAGAGGAGGGGCTGATGTCAAAGGTCACAGGTGGCCGCTGTGGCTCACCTCGCTGTCTTGGCCGGCAGCTGGAAGGGACATCAGGGTGACGGGGCTGCCAGGGTTGTTGCCGTCGCCTGTGGTGGGGGCGTGTCCGTTGCGCATCATGGGGATGGAGCCCATTGGCTGGCCCACATGGGCCCCCAGCGCCAGGTACTGCTTTACCTGCTGCGCCTGGGCTGAGTGCAGATGGAACTTGGAGTTCTCCAGGTGAGTCTGGACCTGCAGCAGACACAGCGGCACACATCAGACCAGAACTGGTACCGTCACTCCCAGAACCACACACTGACTGACGCTACAGTGTCCCCAAACACTCACTGACACTACAGCGTCCCCAAACACACACTGACTGACATTACAGCATCCCCAAACACACACTGACTGACACTACAGCTGGTACACACACAGAGTTCACATATTCCTATCATTGTGGGAACTCTCAACTCATTTCTATGAGCATAACCTTAATCCCAACAATGACAACTTTAACCCCAACCCAGCCCTAGCCCTAACCCTAACCCTAACCCTAACCCCATTCATATCCCTAACCATAACCATAAGTAACCAATCTAAAAACAAGACTTCTGGCATGTTCACTTTTTTGATTGCTGTCACAGATTTTTATAAAATTGAAATTATCCTTGTGGGGACCAAAAAAATCCCCAAAAACAAGGTTTATCACATTGTGGGGAAATCTGGACTCTACAAAGTAATAATTACAAGCAAACAAACAAACACACACAGCTAACTTTGCATTAGAATGATGATGATGATGATGATGAGATTGCTAAGGCCAACAAATATTCTTCTATTTCTTCAAAAATAACAGAGTAATATTATTACCAATAACAATATTAACAATAAATTCCAAAAGTAAAAGCAGCCAGTGGTCCCTCCCTCCTGCCTCGCTCTCCCAGACCAGGCTCATGGGTAATGCTAAACACGCTCACTGAATATTCTGACTGCTGCAGGAAAAAAGTACAATTATGTCAATTTCTCCCGAAGTTGAAGCCTGCAACTGATCACACCTGAATCCTTGTGAATGTTCGGCTGCTTTAGCTGTAGTCCAAAATCATTCAGTACTGGTCGAGGTGGGGAGAAAAAAAGGAATGAAATCTTTACGTTTGAAATTCTGGTCCCATCTCCCATCTTGTAAAAGCTGCAGTCGGTTAAGTGTGGCATTCTCCGGAAAGTTCTCCTGTCCTGTTAGAGATCGCGGCCCCTGCCAGCTGTCCTGCTTGGTGGCTTCAGCTCCTCTCAGAGGTCTTTATTGAGCTTATAAACCATCAGGCCCAATGCTGAATAACCTAATTAGTCAGGGTTAAGGCTGCCCCCTTTGACTGTCATAATACGACAATGGCTTCAAACGAGTCCATCAGATTAGCGTGGTTTTGATCATTAGGATGCCCGCATCTCTGTTTGTAGCTAATTCGCTGGCTCCGCCCCCGTCTGGAAATCAGCCAATCAACAAGTTTCGTTTTGATAGCGTCCCCTCAAGGCATCGCGCATAAACTGCTCCCCAGCTTTTTTTAAGAAGCCCATTTTGCCGCATTTACCACGCCTGTGCAAAGGACACTGTCCAGCCCCCGTCGCCGAAGAATCACCGACGTGAACTTTATGCCGGTCTATTTTTAGCCTGCTTTTTATTTTTAGACTATATATAGACCCAGCTGTTTTCTTTTTTTGGCCTGTCCCGTTTCATTAATGGGTCGTCCTATGTTGTCACGGCACAAAGCACGTCACTGTGGCGATCTGCGTCCGTGTAAACGGCAGAGAGAGTTGGGGGGGGGCCTGCAGCAATTGAAAAAACATCATGGGTCATGTTTATGGCTGCTGGGACAATGACCGTGGGGACAACAGTCTGTTTGTCTGGCTGGCCGCTGCTCGCAGCCCGCAGACACATCGCCCTTCTGTGTGTCTTTCTCGGAATCTGGGTCTTTACGGCGTGGCAGCCGCCCTGAGGGGCCGCCGCCACACAGATGGGAGCCGAGCACGTGGTGGTGTGCACAGTGTACAGTGTACAGTGCACAGTGCACACTGACCGTGGCGGCTAGCTCGCGTGTCGGCACACAGCTGGCCGCAACTTTTCCTCCGGTGAAACACAGTCGACACTCGATCTGCCCTAAATCCACAGCCGCTTTTGATGACCCCCCATGATGGTCAGAGTCCACTCAGTCCACCTTAACTTCTTGGGAATTACCCTCATACCCTTTTTTTGTCCCTGATAAAATTTAGCCGAGCCTGAGATTTTGAGTAGTGTATGTCAGTGACGATACAGCATCAGTACAAAGATGACACCAGAAGTGGTAAAGAGGAGCATAGGAACCTGGGGGACTGGGGGTGCAGACATGAACACCCCAGTATTTAATTTGGCTTCATTCATCCCCCCAATAAACAGGTCTTTGTATATAAATTAAGCTATGTCAAACGCTGTGCTCACAATTCATACACTGCATGAACTATACTCTCCGCAGTGCTTTAGCAGCATGTTTATCCAAAGCGTGGCATTTCCCCATTGCCCTCTGTGCACAGGCAACCCTGCCTCTGTAAGATACCGCCGCCGTGAAATCCGATTGCTTTCCCTATCCATTGTAAAGCGCTTGTAGCTGAGCTGAGGGATATCAACAAACAGCCTTTAATACCAGTGGAAATTGCTCCTTTGAGGAAGTCTGTACACAGGATTTACAGCACAAGTATTCACAAGTCATAAATGATTACAAGTTACTATACATCATACCAGGCCTGTGCTGAGAGATTAATGTTTTCTCACTGTGTGTGTGTGTGTGTGTGTGTGTGTGTAATTCATACACAAGTTCAGGGGAAACAAATCTCTGATTATTTCACACACCATCATGCATTTGCATCTTCAGACTGCTCCTCCAGGAAGCACACGCTTCACAATGCTGTCAAGGTGCTAATTACTTAAACTTGCCATCTAGACAGGAAATAATTTCAGTTGCCGTGAATAACATTAAATGATTCTTAAGTGTTACAAACGCAAAACCCGCTTCTGTACTTTTCCTTTACATCAAAGTTCTTCAGGTACTTCAGCAACTCCAAAACAATGACAATGAAACAAAGAGACCTCTATATGTGTTGGTTATTTTATGAGCACTGCAAATAACGCAGTAATAATTCACTAATAACACACTAATAACACACAAATAACACACTAATAACACACTAATAACACACTAATAGCACACTAATAACACACTAATAGCACACAGATTACACACTAATAACACACTAATAACACACTAATAGCACACTAATAACACACTAATAGCACACTAATAACACACTAATAGCACACTAATAA